ATACTATATATATATATATATATATATATATATATATATATATATATATATATATATATATATATATATTATAATATATATATATATATATGTGCTGTGTGTGTGTGTGTGTGTGTGTGTGTTTGTGCAAAAACTTCTAGAGCTTAATTGTTAAGGAACTGTTATTCACTGCCAAACCACATCCTCATCAGCTGAGAGGAAGTTCCGCCCTCCACCACCAGGTCGACAGCTCCCTTCCCTCAACCATCGACCTTCGGAAGGCACTCGACCTCATCGCCTCCAAAGGGCCGAGTAAATGAGTCCTCCTCGATTGCCTCGCTCTCGGAAATCTCAGCCAAGCGACCAGATATCTATCGAAAAGGAGCTTTATTGCTGTGTACCCTGAGGCACAGGTCCTAGTAACAGGATAAGTCACACGCAGTAAGAAGAGACAAATACTGTCTATGGTCTTATAACTCTGAATGCTGGCCAGAATGGCGGGAATCGCCACCCTCAGTGAGATGGCCAGAATGGGCCACAATGGCGGGAATCGCCACCCTCAGGGGATGGCCACAATGGCGGGAATCGCCACCCTCAGGGATGGCCACAATGGCGGGAATCGCCACCCTCAGGGATGGCCACAATGGCGGGAAGCCAATGGCGGGGGAATCGCCACCCTCAGGGGATGGCCAGAATGGCGGGAAATCGCCACCCTCAGGAGATGGCCAGAATGGCGGAATCGCCACCCTCACAGAATGGCGGGAATCGCCACCCTCAGGGATGGCCAGAATGGCGGGAATCGCCACCCTCATGGCCAGAATGCGGGAATCGCCACCCTCAGGAGATGGCCAGAATGGCGGGAATCGCCACCCTCAGGAGATGGCCAGAATGGCGGGAATCGCCACCCTCAGGAGATGGCCAGAATGGCGGGAATCGCCACCCTGCCAGAATGGCGGGAATCGCCACCTCAGGAGATGGCCAGAATGGCGGGAATCGCCACCCTCAGGATGGCCAGAATGGCGGGAATCGCCACCCTCAGGAGATGGCCAGAATGGCGGGAATCGCCACCCTCAGGGATGGCCAATGGCGGGAATCGCCACCCTCTGGAATCTGGCTATTTTGACAAAACCTTCCTGTTTGTGATTTATGTAATAGAATATTTTTCATCTTCCATTTCATCCAGAACTGATATTTAAAGAACAGTAGGAGATAAAGGTAAAAAAGACACGTGTATATGTGGTACGTATCAATTGATACCTTGGAACGGTGATATATATATATATATATATATATATATATATATATATATATATATATATATATATATATATATATATATATATATATATACTTGCAAGGACCACTATTACCATAAGTTTTGTGGTCATTTAGTCACTCTATCTTAACACTTGTTTATCATCGTAACTATAATCGTCATATATAATCGATGAAGACATATAATGTAAATTCGGAACTGCCTTTTTTTCTTATTCTTTCTGTTTCAGTTTTTGTTTATGTACATACAATGTGAAGGTGGCACCCCCAAGCCTAAGAATGGCACACTTGTTCTATACATGAAATGGTTCTGCCTATTGGACAGTTTAATGTTCAGAATATGAAACCACACTTGGTACTATGATATGATCACTATGTTGTTGTTCTATGATCAATAAATACTTGAATATGATTGATATGAATAATGTTTTTGGCATTGGAACCTCCTTTCTAATAAAATGAAAGAATAATCAAACAATTTTTATGTGAGCAACATCTCTCAACAATATATATAAAGTCATCAACACCATGTAACATTAGCATATATATATATATATATATATATATATATATATATATATATATATATATATATATATATATATATTATATATAATATGTATATATATGAAATCATATATGTACAAGTATACATTCCTTTACATGCATATATACAAATTTACTCATACATAGATAGATAGATATAGATATGCATTTGTGCGTGTATATATATCTATATATATCTATCTATCTATCTATCTATCTATCTATCTATATATATATATATATATATATATATATATATATATCTTTCTATCTCTATATATATATACATATATCATCTCATCCAATGGGTTCTGTTAAATCACTCCAGATAACAGAAAACGAGACTTGAGAGGATAGGCTTTGACTTTGTGCGGAGAACGCTTATTGCATTTGCAAATGCAGCCAAAACCAGAGCGTCAGTTGAAGGATGTCAAGGCAACAGGAAATTCTTAAGTAGGATGCTGTTGTGTCAAAATTTGGAACGTCATTGTCAGAGAATGGGTAACGGAGAAGAAATTCACGTTGTTACAAACATGCAAGGATGTTTTTTTGTTTTTTACGTAAATAGCAAACCTTTTGATTACCCGTCAACAGTTCTCAACAAGAAATAATAATAACGTTTTTAACATTGCAATATTTAAGGTCATATCATTTGAATGCATCTAAGAAAACTCTGATGTTAGCCTGAAAATTCTGTGACTTTTGTATACCATCAGAAAATATACGAAGACCCTTCCTGAACATGCTTTTGTTGAACTTGCTGGTTTCTTTGATAAGTGAAATTCATCGAAATCACTCATTTCTGTTGGCCACGTTGGAGATTGTTTGCGATTGTGACATAAATCTGAAACGAGCTTCACTTGAGGTAATCTGAAAGTGCTTCGTTTGGTTCCGCCAGAACAATGAACAAAAACTTTCGCAATTTTCTTTCAGGAAATCTTGAAATATCTTACCGTTGGGCTGACAGATTGCACGACCATTGAAAGTCAGGTAAAATCTGCATAAATTCCATAGACTTCACCAGTAGGAATCCTTATTGGCTATCAATTTGGAGATTTAGACATGCCTTCTTTATATTCTTTTTATTGGGGTTAAGTACATTTTTTTTTACCAACCGCACTGCAGTCTCCAAGAAACGTGTAAGTAACAAAATAGATCCCCTTCTTGTCACATTTAACAAATGAAAACTCTCCCATAAACCCTCCTCCTACACCCGCTTCGTAATCACGATGTCGATTGGCTTGGGTAGATTGAGGAGAGGCAACTTGGGGTCCTTGTCCACGCAGACGCCCTTGCCCTCGGGCGCCGAGAAGGAGAAGTTCTGCAGGAGGGCGGAGAGGAACACGAACAGCTCCATGCGGGCCAGCGACTCCCCGAGGCACTGGCGGCGACCTGGAGGAGGAGGAAGGTGCCAAAGGGGGACCGATTTCTGGCTGGACCAAAGGGTTGGTTTCTCTTTTCTCTCATTTGCAAATGTATGCATACATACACACACACACACACACACAAACACACAAACACACACACACACACACACACACACACAACACACACACACACACACACATACACACACACACACACACACACACACACACACACACACACACACACACACACATATATATATATATATATATATATATATATATATATATATATATATATATATATATATATATATATATATATATATTACACAACACTATAAACGCCGATTGGCACGTACCGATTCCAAACGGCAGGAAGCCCTCCTTCTTGGCGAGGACCTTCCCTTCGGCGTCGAGGAAGTGCTCGGGGTAGAGTTCGTAGGGCTTCTCCCAGTGGGCGGGGTCCGAGTGGCAGCCCTCCTGGTGGGCAGCCAAAATAGCCCCCTGTGGAAGAGAAGTTTTACTAGCTTCTAGTTTTTACACCTAAAGATCCTTCTTGAATATCTGATATTCTTTGAACGTGAAGCTTATTCATTTCTAGATATGTATGTATATGTTATTATTTCTTTTTTGTTTTGTTTTTTTATTCATCTTGCAAAGAAGAGTCGTTATGATAAATGCTCACTTTGGGGATGATGTAGCCTTCGAATTCTGTGTCCCTGGAGCACATGTGGTAGACTCCAAAGCGAGTAAAAGATGCTAGTCGGTGTAATTCTAGAGTGACAGCTTCAAGGTATGGCATGCTGGCGATGTAAGAGTCTATGTCAGGTATTTCCTACATATATTTCATCTTGGCAAAGATATTCTTTAATCATATATAAGTCTTGTAAGTTTTGTAATATTTGTTTACTGCAATGCTGTCATTTCTCAACATTTCTCTTCATAACTCACGTTGGAATTAAGGATGAAAACCACTCTAATGTCCACACTGGTAAGAAAATTGCTTTAATGCACACCTGCTCTTCTGCTGAATGGAGGGAAGGACATCCCTGGGAACCACGGAGTCGATCTCCTTCTGCGCCTTGGCCTGCACCTCGGGGTACTTGGCCAGGTAGTGGATGGCCCAGCGGATGGTGGAGGACGTGGTCTCGCTGCCGGCGTTGAACAGGTCGGCCAAGCAACACAACAAATCTTCAACTGAAATTCGGAAAGCCATGCTTTGTCACTCCATGGCGGGTTTGTGTCCTCTAGAGACATCTTGTAAAACACAATGAAGCAAGCGTTTTGTCAAGAAATATTCACAGACGCCACCCATGTCATCAACAACATTTTGGCAAGACGTGAGAGTGCTTAAAATTTGCTCAGCATGACGGGGCATTCATTTTCTGACAAAGGCTGTATTCCAAAGGCTCCACCCAGCATAGTAAGTTTGCAAGCTTCAGAAAGGGTGCATGTGCTCTTCATATAGCCAATACCCAGCATGCTAGCCCCACTTATGATCTTTGTCTACAGTATATATACCAGTGTCACACTTTGTTTACTATTCTACTGAAAGTGCAGGGACTAGCCTAGTATATGTTCCTAATGGTTGCATTTTCTATCTAATACCATCATCATTTATTCATCTATCCATCTATCTATTACTACTAACTGATCTCTCTCATCTCTCTCATCTCTCTCTCTCTCTCTCTCTCTCTCTATCTCTCTCTCTCTCTCTCTCTCTCTCTCTCTCTCTCTCTCTTTTACGTAACCCAGTCTGTCCAGAAAATAGGAAACGCCCTTGTGTTTATGAAGCAGCACGACATAAGGGGAGTTACTGCTCATGGTGGA